AAGCAATTTTTTTTTTAATAGAAGACAATAAGGGAAACATTTAAGCGAGACATTCGGTACATAAATATGTAATCGAAATTAGAAAGTCAGACAGTAAGTAACTCAGTATTACGTTTCAGTGTGTAATGTTGCCTACTGCATGGAAAATATAAAAAAAAGTTAGAACCTAAATATTAATCATATAATTTCTACTTAAACTATTGCACAACAATACAATTCGGGATATTCCGTCGACACATCATCATATGTTAATCATGCCATGTTAAAAATTTTCTTAACATATAACTTTTAAATTAAAAACAAACATGTGAGTTTTCAATTTTCAAATGTTAGTTAGTGCTGTTAAACGTCGACTATTTCGATACGAAGTATGTAATTTCTAAAAATTAAGAAATCGGTGGAATTTCGTAAATTTTTTCACGCCCAAACTCGTTCTTCAAGTCTGACACAATTGCATTGGTACAACAATAAATTGGCATTCGTTTTCTACGAGCAAAACCTACACAAACGGCGCATTATATAGGCACCGTGATTTGCATTGCAATTCGTAAGGTAAGTTTGCAGACTATCGTTGCCCCTGGAACATAACCACGACGACGATTAACTTGAAATTTCAGTATATTACTAAGTACGAAGATAACTTTATCACAAAATGTACAAATAAATTCGTCGGACTCGTCCAAAAGTGAAAGTGTACATAGGGCCGATACTATCAGTGGTTATAACAAACGAACACCCACTGTCTACAGGTATAATTAGTTTATATCGAAGATAAGAAAGAATCAAACACACCCGAGTACAGTATAAGACGTAAAAGAAAATTTCAAACATCCAGTTATCTTTAGAAGGCATTAACCTTATGAGTACACGTGTGAAAGTTTAACACCCAACAAAACCGGCAGTCGGTATTCAAACCGATACACAGGCAGAGGTTTACCAAGCTATAAAGAACATCTACTGAAAAAAAAGAAAACGGCCCGTGAGGTATTCGGAATTGCTTCTCGTACTAAGTAAAATAATAAAACGAATTGAGTAAGCCTAAAAAATTAATACATTTTTTAACGCCACAAAAATAATAAAATCATTACAGTTTCGTTGTATTTAGTCATGAATAAGACTTGCAGTATAAAACATTTTCACTCAGCACAGAACCTTAATAAATTTTCCAAATACGATTTACAAACATACTTGACAATAGTTATTTATGTACACGTAGCTTGGGGTGTAATTTCCAGTTTTAAAAACGCATTAAAAAAACCGTTTAGCGTTGCGCGCAATTAAGAATAGTTATAAACTATGGGCCTAACAGGTGCAATGCAGAACGGTAGGTCTCTACGTAGTATAAAATATAGAAAATACCGGTTGTAAACAGGAGGCTCGGCCACTATTCTAATTATTGACAGTGTTATTTAATTTAGTTCTTTTTTTTTTTGAGAACCCCTACGTTACACGTCGAATTCCTCAACCGAAGAACAATCTTCTTCTTTTCCATCTGACGGCTAAACAGTCAACAAAATTATTACCCGTGACCAAAAAAATTAAACACGTACTTTTTACCCCTACTTATAATCTAGCCCTTTTTATCGGCCGGCATCATCAGTATCTGCATTGTTTGTGTTTTTCATGGGCTTAGTGAGTCGGCAGCAACAACCAGTGCAACGCTTTCTTTCTTTCATTCTCTCACAAACACGTCTACTTGCGGGTCAACCAACCCCGGGGATTCTCTACACTAGTCACTGGGTAATTATTATCCGTGTGTATCCACCATTCGTCCGGCCGTTATAATATGATGGTCGACTTGCCACTGGGAATAGTAATGACTCTGCGGTTGTTATGTATAGTAGTAAAGACGGACGGCACGGTTTAATGGAACTATGAAGTACAACCACATTTCCTTGTAAAGAAATAGGAAGAAGTAAAACGCGTATAATGAAAATATAATTTTTAAACTGTAACAAAAATAAAACTAGTCACGAATTTTTTTATTTTGTGAGTAACATGCGTGTGACAAAAACAGACAATTTAATTTTTGTAGTTTTAAGGCGAACGACAAACAAAATATTTTAATTAAATTTTTCAGTTATTATAACGATACTATAATAATATTTAAAGATTATTCAGATTTATTAAGATTTTATAATTACTCTTGTCGTGATTATTAAATATTATTTTAAGAAATTTATAAATAATATACAACTGAGACATAGGTGTAATTAAGAAAGGAAAGAGAGGATTTCGAAGAACAAAAATAATTGTGATGAAAAAAATTTTTTTTTAAAGGGGATAGTGAAATGTTTTTTATTTGTATCGCCGAGAACAAAACCCCCATATGCCACTAAACACCAAAGTCATTTTCAAATATATGCTTTTTAGAAATTGATAACACAATATATAATCATTGTTATGAGCAATAAAGAAGTATCAGATGAGAATTTGGTTATAATTACACAATATGTCAATAATAAGATAATAACAGATCGAAAAACAATATCAAAGTTCAAAAAAAAAATGTTCAAGTAATCAGGAATCCAAAAAAATAGTTGATAGAGTATTATAAAATACAATTATGAAAAAAAATTCATTTTTTAAGTTTAAAATATATATTTTCTAGGAATTAATTAATAGTAATAAAATTAAATCATAAAAAATATAGATTAAAAAATATTATTATTATTAAAACATACCATTATTTTCAAATTGAACATTAAAAGATGAGATGATGTTATATAAATGATCATGACTATAGGATTTTACTTTTTCCTTTGCCTTCATCAATTATTCATTATTTTAATGAAAAGTTAGGTGTTTAAGAATTAATAATAATAAAAAAATTATAAAGTAGTAAAACAATATGAATAAATTATGAACTACATAAGTACATATTTTTATTAAAAGAAACTTGAATTTTTATATCCTACAAAATTTGAAAAATTAATATATTAAATAATTTCATTTAAATCTAAAAACTTATTGTTTGACGAAACTACACCACTTTTTGTGATTAAGAAAAGGGGTATAAGAAATAAAGGAAAAATCGTCATCGAAATATACAATAATAGATATTAATACATATGATAATGAAGTAACGCAATAATTATTAAACTATAAGCTAAACAAAGTTAAAAAAAATTAAGGAGCTATCAATGATATTGCAATAAATAAGAAATCCGTTTAATGTTGTCCCTCATATCATAACGAATAACAGTTTTAAAAGTAAAGCTGGTATTTTTTATAAATGGTATCATTAAGTAAAATAGGTGTTGTACACCTGACACATGGTAACGTATTTAACAACAAATAGGTTAGCAACTTATTCAATGTAATATTCTAATGTAACATAAACCACGGTGATAACCGAAGGATTGACCGTTTTATAGAAATACTTGTCAACGTATAGAAAATAGCATTTGTAAAAATGTACGAGAACAACCAACACGAATACGAGGGTTTCGTGTGTTGACAAAACAATTCGTAAAAACGACCTGTTGGCAGATGAAAGGGATGCCGACGCTGTCGCCATTCAAAGACACACAGCGTACTTTACTGACTGTACGTTATTACGGTTGTTTGAGGGGATATAGGAACGGGGTGCGCGAAGATTTAGTAGTTTATTGTGTCGGCGTCCTTGGTCAGATGATTGTTTTCTATCTTTAACCATCTCAATGCCCCCGCCATTTCTGGCTTCTTTCATAAAAATTTGAAATTTATTCTTCTATACCCAATAAGCACGTGAATGATTTATAGAAGAGTAAATTACACGCTGAATTAACCCTTTGACAGCCGCTATTTTTTTTTTTTCGATTTTATAACCTCGTTGGTTCGTCTACTGACCCAAAGACCTATTTATTCCAAGAAATACTTAACAAAGAGTATAACATAATAATACTAATAACATAAATAAAAATGGTTTTCCTTTTTATAAGCCAACAAGCATTTTTATGTTCACACAAGGTATAGTTTTGAGCACGTGCTCTTGTCATATCATTTTGTGGTTACGACGATCGCATTGTTAAATAATTGATAACATTTAACCCTCATGAAACGACGTTATACAATGGTCACTTTTAACAAAAAGTAACTCGCATAACATAACAAACAACATACTTTCGTTTTGAGTAACAATGTACAGTGATTAAAAAAGTGTTTATAAAAACTTATATCACATTAAGCAACATAGAAATTATAAAGCGTAATTTTTTTTAAATAAAATATTCGGCGACAAACTACGCAATGTTTATTTTTAGTATAACTATTGGGAGATTTATGAGCTTGCGCATTAATTGTATTTTTGGGGCTGTTTGAAAATAGGTTTAAATTGGGCGAGTCTCAATGACCTTGACACTATTGAGATTTTTGCGAGATAAAAAAAAATTGGCGGACTGATGAGGCGGAGGGAATTATATAGTGGCAGAAGGCTCTTGTCGTCCTTGCCTAAGCATATCGTGGCGAATTGCACGGAAGTAGGTCACTAGTCACAATGTTAGCGGCCCCGCACTAGCCTTGAGCTATTAACTTTAATGTTATGCGCGCTCGTCTACTGTTGTCTGTATAATTACTGATTAGAATAATAATAATATAAAAATAAAACCACAATTAATTGAGAACTACGTAAATATTTGAGAAATGCTTCATAAATTTAATAATTCATGAACCATAAAAATATTACATAATGAATAGCATTTAGGGATTCAACACAACCCCAGCGCATATTGAATTAGTTTTTTAATCTATAGTTTTATTTAAACAACTTATAAAGAGCGTATCCAAAATATTTCAGATAAGTTTCGGCCAATTAATAATCCGTAATTATTTTATTCGACAATAAATGAATCAGGAGTTTATTAAAAGATATGTTTTGTTTTGCATTGATATTATTAATGCGAAACACAAGATATATATTACATAATGAAAAATATTATTTTTTTCAACTTTCTGGATAGAGAATAGCTAGAAAACTTCTTAGGATACACTACTTTATGCCACAAAAAAAAATGTATTACCTTCGATGAACCCACGATCGTCATCGCTCAATTGACTTAAGTCCATGCATTTTGTATCTGAAAATTCAAATTTTATTTTATATAGATAAAGTATATTGTCAAATTAAAAAAGTATTTGTACTACTTAAAAGTCTATAAAGAGACCTCTCGAAGAGTGGCGGAGAGATAACCCCCATACCGTCAATATTTAATCATTTTAATTAGCAATTTTTCAAATTGAGATTTGCTACTAAAAACATTTCTTCAAAAGATCACATTATTTTAAAAATTATTCTGTCGTCAAAATTAAAAATTTTTTACCCCCTATTTTTTGTTTGCTATGGGAAGACTAAACCCTTTACAATATTTGAACATACCATCAATAAATGTTTGATCGCTTTCATTTAAATTGCTAAGGTCCATACACTTTTGATCTGAAACAAAACATTTCAAATTATGTAATTTATTTATGAAGAAAATGTTTATATAAAATTTTACAATTATAAGTTTATTATCTTATTGAGTTATTTAAACTTAGGAAAGTAATAATGTACTGAATAGTGCATAAATATAACATTTCATTTAAATATTAAATAACTGGTAATACAGTTATAATAAATTCAATGATTAATTATTCAATATCATTAAACAAATTAAACGATAAATATTCCAGTATTTTATAGCTTAAAGTGCTTAAAAACACGAACTTAAAATGTATTTTTTGCAATAAAAGTTGAAATATATTTTACTCAAAATTAATTGTTTTCTATCATGTAATCGTTAGACAGGAGAGATAGCAAAATCATTTACGTTTATAATAAAGTCATTTGAGAAGGCATTTGTTCGCAAATTATATTTTACGCTATAAAGTTTTTTAAATAAACCCACCTAAATGTCACTGCTAAAATTACTAAGATATGTTACAAATTATGCTTTAAATAAAAAATGTATTAAACAAAAATAATTTTTTCCAAAGATTAAAATTGATTTTCTTAATAAAAAAAAACTATTAATAATAAATAAAAGTTAAAGAAATATCAAGCTAAAATTAATCACTTAAACTTAAACATTTGTAACATTAATAATGTATTTGTATAAATAAAGCGTTACTTTATAATTCAAAACAAGAACTTAATCAGACAATGATTACGTCACTGGAGTAACCTTGACAAAAAAAGGTGATAGATACAGTAAGTGATGTTGAAGGATGTTAACTTGACCACGACACGAATCTACCTAATACGAATACAAATTTTTTTTACTGCAATAAGTCACAAAAACATAAGTAGAAAAATAAATATAAAATAACTGACTGTAGAACCCAAAAGTATATTAGGTTTTTTGTCATTAGTTTAATTTTTCGAGAACTACTTGAAAGCTACCATTAATTTTTTACCCAATATATTTTCTCTAATATGTAATTTTAATATACATATTTAATAATTAAAAATTGACTGTATTTAAAGTTAAATTACAATCATTATAAAAGACATTTGAATTCAATCCAAATACTACGTATTAAAATTGGCAATTTTAATATTCCAATTACATTATTAAATACATTTATAAATAGATAATTTATAAAGCTGTAGGAGATGAATTAAATATTAAAGGTCAGATATTTAGGTCATCAATGCACGTAAACAAGTAATAACAACACTACCGCAAACTTTGAAATTTATATAGTTGGTGCATATTGTTTTTCTTGATTAAATAAAACTCATTCTTTTCAATCTTCTAATGCATCATAACCTTTAAAATTACGTATATTCGTAAAATTATTTTTCAATTTTTAATGCTTCTACTCTGGACAAGTCATTTAATATTAATATACTTCGCATCAATGTAAAAATCACTAAGTTTCTCTTGTTATTAATAGTTAATGGAGTAAAAAAAATAATAATACATAACTGTTGAATAGTCGGCTATATATGATTGGCAGTTAGCTTATTAACACAACATTGATCAATATAGAGATGAATAAATTGTATCAATTACGTATATATAGTCAAATTACTAAATAAATATTTTTAATTTTTTAATTGCAATACTATATGTGATAGTGAGACATAATGATTATTATCACCTTAGCCTCTGTTACAACTATTTGGGGTCGACTCTACTCTACCTTACAATTTGACAGGATTTTTACATCAGCTGCCAATCTAACGCAACCTTATTATGACTGAAGGAGCCAGAAGGGTGCAAGGTGTGGTATTACTATTAAAGTTCCCGTATGGTAATCCGATCGGCAAACAACGCAGTTAAACATTAACGCAAAGGCGGTGATCAAATGATCCTTTGTGTCATACCACGCCTTTATAGTGAGGCACAGTAATGAAAAATAAAAAGAATAGAACAATATGATTAATACATAGAAACATAATTGAAATATTACAATAGGCACCAGAGTATAGGGCACTTGTTAGAAGTCTAGAGAAAAATTCACTACAGACACCCCCAAAAATAGGATATTTAATATCATACGTTTTGTTTATTTACTTTAACTATTAAATAATAACGGAACATATACCTGGTTGTCCTTAAACAAGGCCGAATTAAAAAAACAGTAATGGGAGAGAGAACATACTGTAAAAGTCACTACAGTAAATATCAACGACTATTCACAAATATATTTACTTAAAATATTTAAAATCAATAATTCAAATAGATATAAATTGTTCTTCGTATTAGCATTTGCCAACGGCCAGTAATATGTCGATTATTCATTAAAAAGTAGGTCACAGTAAAGGTGCGAGAATGATGGCTAGTGTCGTACTATAAACTGTAATGAATGACTTTGTATGATTATTTTCCGAGGCCATTATTATACGAGATAACAATACTATAATAAATACACATAAACAATAACTACTTTAAAAGCTTAAGAATATAATATTTAACTAATTGTCACTTTATTATGAAAAATAAACGTTGGAAAAAAACTAAGGTCAGATATATTAATAACGCTAATCTAATAACTAGGGCTCAGAATTATATGTATTTATAAATTTTGTTAAGTTATTTTGAATATACCACCAGCCAATACAAATTTTTATTAATTGACTTCGTAATATGTTGTTATCGAGATTATAGATTTATAGGAATTAAGTAGTTATCCCCTTAAACCGAAAAATATTTCTACGTTTCTAAATAATCATATAACAGACAAAATTGTACAAACTTGAACCTTTCCAAACGGTTCATATAAAATTTATAAATACTTATAATTCCGAGCCCTACTAACAATAATTAATTTTTTGTAATACAGTATCATATAAACTCAAAAATAAAATTTGAAGATTCTTTAAATATATTTAAAAAATTCTGAGCTTATTTATGCAGTTTGAACATAAAAAATGGACAATTTTATTTGAAATTAAAAATGTATAATACTTCTTATTTTTCCAGAAATAAATTAAGCAAATTTGCGTTGGCCCAACACTATTGGAATTACTATTTTAACTTCAAAACTACGGTTGAAAATTTAAAAAAAATTGAGAGTGCATAATTATGTACCAGGTGTCTGAAAGGGTAAAACTACAATTATTTTTATGTTCAAACAATACGTACAGTTGTATAACAATTCACATTTTTGTGTAATTCACTTTTTTTAAAAGCTATAACTATTATTGTGTACTAATATTGTAAGCATAACATACACATGTGTATATAAAATTATTTAATAAATAATATATTAATGTAATGAAAAGTTTAACATCCATTTAATAATACGCGAAATATATTCGAGTCCTATAACACATTTTTATGGGTGGTTATTAAAAAAAACACACACGAGTAATGATATGCCGGTTTTAGTACAAACAGGCCAATGTCAGCTAAAGTGTGTCAGTAGGTCAACGCGAATCTTAACAAGATCGCCGCCGACGCCACACACTAAGTTATTACGTGATACAATATTATTTTCACTTTCGTTTTCATGAAATAATATTAGCGCCTAGACTAAAAAACTAATATCAATACATTTTAAGTGAATTAATAAGTCATAGACGCGTTATCGAGACAGCATTGTTTATTCTAACTGTGGAAGGGGTAATGAACTCCATTAAATCATAGTAAATTTTAAATAAACATTATTTAATCTTCTTTTACCCTAAAACTATTACACCGCTATAAAAAATAATCCTACTTACTATGCAATTTGGTTCTTTCGACACATTCAGATGAGGGACGGTTTGTACTTGACGACAGTGTCAAGACCAATTAACAGCAGACTTTCACCCTCCCTTCAAGGGCGTGTGAAAGTCACAATGACCTAGAGGGAATACCACTTCATGGTAGATGTAATACCTCTCCTCGTCCTCAACTATATAATTTTATAACACTTTGATCTATACTTGCATGTTCTGTGGTCAAGATTTATTCTATCATACTTGTTATTTCATATTTTTTTTTAATATTGATCATGTTTTTTGTAATTTTCAGTCATTATAATATTACTTACAACAGTTAAAATAGAGACAATTTATAATATATACGTTTTATAAGGTAAATATAAAACGATAGTTTATATAAATAACATTTTATACATATAAACTGTATAATTAAATCCATTTATACTTAAGAACATCCAAAAAATAAACAATTTGTTGATTTGAAAAATAGTTAGTTGATGTTAATTGTGAATTTATAAAATAATTATTCAAGAAATAGGTTCGAGCTTTAACTGATTAAAGACAGTAAAAATAAATAGTAATTTTTTGCATAAGGTATTCTACGAGTCGTATAAAAACTTGAATATGACACATTTATAATAAAGGAAAATATATAGGATTTTATACTAAGATTACTAAATGCAATATTTAAATTTAATTTTTAACTTTACAATTTTATAAGCAGATAAAATTATTTTATACATTTTAGTTTATTTATACTAAACATTTTCTCATGCTCAATTTATATTTATGTTATCAATTATTTTTACCGATAAATCACTATCAGGAAATGCGAATGCTAACAAAATTTAATAAAATTTAGTTGACCAATAAAAAATATTACAAAATTCATTTTTAAGCTAATTTATTTAAACGAAATGCGACATTTTGTAAACTTTTTCTTCAATCCTACACAAAATTCTAATTAAAGTTTTTAAATTATTACTAAACATATATATATATATATATATATATATGTGTGTGTGTGTGTGTTTATTAATTATACTCAACACTCATCGACATAATCTAAACATACAGACTGATCTAAAATTCTACAACATACCTGTAAACTGCCGTCTTGTCACATAAGCAGTAAAGTAACGTTGGAGGACAAACGACAAGACATTCGTAGCTAATGACCTGGTAAGGGGATGAAAATACAAAACTAAATGTAGGTCATCCCTTTGATACACCGACATAGGCTGCGCTAGAGATGAAAGCCCAGGATCGGAAAATGGGTCCAGAAGTATACGCGACTG